CTATAAAATTGAATTATCACACATCATGTACAACAGGATTACAATCCCCCTTCCACCATATTATGTTGAGATGAAGGAGACCCCAAGAATAAATCATGCTTTCCATGATTACATCATTTCATAATGCTAGACTCAAATACAACTCGACCCTTGCCGAGAAAAGACCATTGCATTTCGTCAATGGACAAAAGCACTGTGCAGATGAAAGGAATGGCTTTCCCTCTCAACAAGACACTTGGCTGAAGGAGTACAAGGACAGCTGCAGCATGTCATCTTTAGACAAATCAAGCTGATATTGGCTCGTATGGATATGATAACCATGGGTGCTTTAGAGCCTCAGATGCAGTAGGCCGCCTTTTTGGGTTTATCTCAAGCAAATGAGCAACAAAATCAATAAAACCCTGATCTCCCATAGGCAAACGATGCCTTAAAGATGTCCTTTTTGGAATCAGGTATTCCAGTCTGTTGGTTTCCTGAATAATTCGAGTAACATAAACCATTTAGATATAAGCATGGGAAAATATTTGATGAACACAAAATCAAATACCAGACAAGTAAATGAATCACAGATAATATAATGATAACTGCAACCTTAAAAATGTTATATTAGAGAGGAGGAAAGTATGATAAAACATCTGGATAGGTTCAATAGAAAAACATACACAATTGAGCAAAAACCCAAAAACAGATGCTGAAGCTCAATGGACATATCAAAAGCTTTGGTAAAGAAATAATCCAACACTAGGACACTGAAACTAAAATACAATGATGTGACTATTTAGATGCTGTAGCATAATTAAATCCAATGCAATGTTCTACCACAATTACTTAATTACTAATAATAATGTAGTATCTTGTCTCAGCTGGTAATATGAATACTGTCATAACCAAGCATATCACAAGTTTACAACTTCTATACATCACTGCCTCATGGACACAAAAGCAAATATAGTATAAAAAAGATGGTTACCTGATTATGCTCATAAAGCATGTGATTTTTAGTGAAATATTTGTATGTACCACGTCCTTTGGCAAGCATGTCTTGATCAATGGGACAAATGATTCCAATAACCCTTGCAAGTAATGTTGCTGGTGAATCATTTTGGAAAAGGACCTACACCAACGTTTCATTGATACCAATTTGCAAGTTTCCAAGTGATCAGTTGCAATAGTTTCAAGTGATATAGATTGACATAAGATCAGGAGTCTAGCTGAAGTCTAGGCATCTCTTAATTCATATGTTAAAACTTACATTGCCAGTACAAAGTTCTGCCAAGATGCAGCCAAGTGACCAGATGTCTATCTTCTTATCATATGGAAGACCCAGGATAACCTCTGGTGCACAATACGACCTGGATTGAACATAGGAACACAAATGATCTGTCTCAAAACAGCTACTCCCAAGATCAATGACCTTGACCTCACATCTACTGTAGCTTTTCACTAATATATTTTCAGGCTTTAGATCACAATGTATAAGACCAAGACCATGCAAAAATTGAAGTGCCTCCAAACATTGAATGGTAATTTACTGCATTGAACATTTTGAAGGAATGAGAAAACAGCAGGACATATCAATTAGAAGCTCATTGCAAGATGATACTACCATACTTGTAATCTTGGCATTGTGAAATAAACCTCACCCCTTGATTCCCTATTAAATTTATGAAACTCGTATAAGTTTGCCTTGAGAAGCTCACATACAATTAACAAATGGTCCTGAAAAACATAGGAAATTCAGCTTTTACTTAAATCAAAACTTGTCATAAACTGACATGTGTGGAAACACTTGAAATAATTGAATAGAAATCATCAGACACGAAAGAATCTACTGTAGAACTAGCTAAATAGCACTACTGCATTGAAAGAAGTCAAATATCTGCCACCACAAATTTGTGTGCCATAGCAACACCCATTTATTCACTGACCTGGTAGTAGAAGTAATCATACAGCCGGAGAAAATGGTACTTATCAGCAGGATCATACTTGTTGACATACTTGAGAAGCTTTATCTCATCAAGACTTTGATCAAAAAAATCCTTGTTGTTCTTTATGATTTTCACACAAACATCCATGCCCCTATGCAGGTCATGTGCCTGTATGGCTTTGCTGAATGCAGCAGATCCAAGATACTCAGTAACATGATATTGTCGTGCTATGACAGAATTTAGAACAACATGGAAGTTCTTGTCCTCATCAAAGCCAGTCCTGAAGAAAGAGGCAAATTCATGTAAAGAAGGCTCCTCAGATAGTTCTAGCAAAATGAAACCAGCTTTGACATAATAATCAGGCAAGTGATTTTCAAAGCAAAAGCCAGAGCACTGTAACAAGTATCATTTTATCTCATGAAGAAGGTATTTTTTCCTAGCAGAAGATCACATCTACCATGCTTTTCTTTCTGAAGAAGCTAGAAAGATATGAAAACTGAAATTTACAGGTCAAGTTATAAAAGCCCTTCTGCATCAATTATTTTCTCAAAAGATAAAAACAGAAAGAAAGAATGCAAAACATATAGGTTAAAAAAAGAGGTCACAGAATCCAAAGCCAAAAAGAGAGATTCAGTCATGAGATTCAGTAGAGATGCTTAGTAAAGGAAAAAGGACTAGCAAAGGGATGCCTGCTTTTCCTATGCACAACAGATAGGTTAAGTATCTAATTTGCAAAAGTTGGATGGATGTACATTAGAGTTGATGTTAATAATAATTTATAAGGCATGCCTGTTTTTTCTATGCACAATCTTGAGGTTGAAGGTCTCAAATTCCTCCTCCTGAGCCTTTATTTGTCGGACTTGCTCTTGGACAGCAGCTGCCTCTTCATCCTCAACTGATGCCCCAGGATCTTCTTGTCTCACTCCACTAATTCTGTCATCTTCTTTCTTAGCATGTCCCTGTTTGCCATAACCATAATTAGAGAATGATGAGGGAGAAGAATTTGCAGATCTTAAAGCATTGGCATTATTTTCATCTTTATAACTTTTGACTGTTGAAGAATCACTGCTTTGCCACCTCCATATGGCAAGCACATCATCAGACCCCATCAAAGGCAAAGCATTCAAACAGTCATCATTTTCATCACTAACAGCATTGCAGTTGTTTGACCATAAAGACTTACTAGATCTTGCCTGCAACAACTGCCCATCTCTCAGTGTTGGGGGGAAAGAGAAACAATCGGTTAGATTCCTTGCCTGGGTACTTGCACCTCTATCATTGCCGACTACATATTTGTTGGAATCATGTTTATTGATTTTCTTTGTATCCCTAGATTTATCAATATGTTTTCTGTCTGTGTCACAAGAATCTTTTTTGGACCCACTAATTGCAACATCTTGATCACGGAAGTACTCTATATCACCTTCACTATCGCCTCCAACCAAACTTTCACGTACTTCATTTCCAATATCAGCAGCATCACTATTGATTCCCACACCAATAGATCTAACTGAGCCATGCTGATTATCATCAATACAAACATCATCCAGCTGAGATCTTCCACACTCATTCAGAACTTTACCATCGCCTAGCATGATTAGTTCATTTGTCTGAGTGACAAATCCCTGCCAGACAGGTTTAGCACTCATCAAATTAAGCTCTTCTTCATCCATTAATTGTCCATCATACTGAGCAATTAGGTCATTCTCATGACCCCTCCTATACATTTCAGGCACTGAGAGGCCTATAGGATCCTCCAAAGCTGTAACAGGTTCAACAGTTTTTCTTTGAAAATACTGCCCACCAGAGAAGTAAGAATCTTCCTCAGCAAATGACTGATCATCATCGTCATCTTTGGTTGGACCTCTTTCCTGTGGATCTGGAGCACTTCCATGCCCAGTTCCCTTTTCATTGTCACTAGGGTAATCAATTTCATGTGCCAGGAACCATGCTTCATCCTCAATAGTTTGTCTCATGTATCAACAACATCATCATCATCATCATATTCATCAGAATCCCAATATTCATTTGGGTAATCAACTGATTCACTTAACCCATTGCCAACGGTAGCAAAACCAGAAACCAAATCAGAAGTATCTTCTGCAATTCCTTGGCCGACAGATAGCCAACTCCCTCCTAAAGTCCTCTTCCCACCTGGATTACCATAACACAAATTAAAGCTTCTTCTGCAGAATAACAAGGAAAATCAACCAATAATAATAATAATAATAAATGAAAAAACTATTACATATGATCGCTAGAATGTAAGAATCTGAAAGAAAGGCTAAATCCTAAATGACACAAACACAAACTAAATGCATGTTTTAATGAATATTTGAAGCGCAAATAACCAAGGATGCTTTTGTTTGAACAACAGAAAGATTAAATGAAACATAAGTGGATGTTCATTGTCAATACCAAATAGAAAAAATAAAATGTATTGAGATAAATCACTTAAACTTTCCCTTTAATTACTTGAGAATGAATGTTATCCATGTAATTTTTTGTTAAGTAATCTTTAACACAGGATGCCTTTATTTACAGTGCAAAGTTTGGTATGATTAAATAATGCAACTCACAAGCCATATCTAACTTTCAAACAAATATCAAAGTACAATAGTGAACCAACGATATAGCAAATTTATCACAGACGGTATAATAATAACTTCAGCCTTAAAAAAGTTATATTAGAGAGGAGGAAAGAATGTACTAAAAATAATAAGAAACAGACTAGATGTTCCTCCTTTTGGCTTATGTTTTGTTTATTACAGATCAAAAAGGCTGAGAAAGAAAAAGAGAGAGAGAGAGAGAGAGATTCATTATCAACTAACCTGAAGAGTTCATTTCTTGTCCAACCGGAACATCCAAATATGAACCCACAAGGAAGACATTGTCAGCACTGGTAAGTTTTGGACCTAGACCATCATGCTCCTGTTTTTCCTCCCAATTTACATTCACTGACTTGTCCTCAGATTTGAGCTTAACTGGTGGTAGCCTGGGTAACTCCTCATTTGAATTATCAGATGCAGGAGGAAAGGTCAACCCAGTTAAATTTTTATGCTCAGACCTCCCTTGAGACTTTCCAAAGTATAAAGCCCTTCCAACCTCATCCACCTGCTCTTTAGTCACTGCCCTAACATTAGTTATATCTGCCTTCCTCTTTCCTTCTTTCTCGCCAGGTACAGTAGTGTTGCCTTGACTTGTTGGATGCATCCCTCTTAGGAAAAGGAAAAACAGTCTTGACACTACAATCTTTCCAAACGTCTGAAGATGAATTTGAAGGCCCCTCACTTCTTGACCCTGCATTATTACCAGCAAATTGTTCCTTAAAGTCAATGCTGGAAGCCTTACCTTGTTGATCAAGCTCCTTAGCTTCA